AAAGTGCCGCGATATTATGCGAAGATTATATATTCCTACCGCCACCGCTAATATAAATATATATATATTAATATTTATACGTATATACGTATATGTTAATATTCATTTATATATTCCTACAGCCGACGCCTCTGCTGCCGTATATGCCTCGTGTATAATGTTCCCTCCGCCATGCCCGCCCACATAAACACGGCTATACCTCATGCATGATACGTTTACGTACTTAAGTCCCTTTAAATATATATATATTCTAATTACTATTAAAATTTATATATTAATACGCTTTATACTCATTAAGAGATATGTAGTATATTCATTCCGATTAAGGGGGTTGATTCCCGTATGTCATTTTTCGTCACTACCACCACGTTGCGCGCCTGCTACTTTCCTTGGATGTAGTAGCCGTTTCTTAGACTCCCTCTCCGGAATCGAACCCGTATTTCCCGTTACCCGTTACAACCATGATATTGATATTAACTACTATCATAACATGAAACTAAAAAGTGAAAAATAATTTTTAAAATTAACTTAAAACAATAATGAACGAAAAATACTAGTATTATTGTGAAAAAAAGCGTGGGTGCTTTATGCCATATTTTTTGTATATTGAGCGCCTGACGCTTCTTATTTTAAACGCCTGAAACTTATTTTAAAAATTATTTTTAACTTTTTAGTTCGATGTGCTTTAAAAGCGTGTTTTTTATAGTTTTTTTTAACTATATTTATATTAAGTGACGAATGCGACGTACGGTTTCTGAGACGGTAACACTTGGGTCTTTCACGCCTGTGGCACTGAATTTTTTCTTAATTCTTTTTGAGTTAGAAAAAAATGTTTAACTCGTTTGATTTTTATCTCATTTAGATTCAATAACTTCAATAAATATTAAGGATCCCATTACTGTAGTCTCCTTTGTGAGAAGAAATTCATATTAATATTATTTTACTATGTGGTTTTTTTTTGTAGCTATCATTTATATTTTCAGTTCTCACTTGACTACTTTTTTGACAAATTTATTTTTAAATTAAACACTATCTACAGATTTGCATCGAAGCGTTTTTTATGATAGTGACTTTAATTACTGTCAGATATCATCTATACTGGACCCAACTATGCCACGACCCCACTGTGCCCCCACACCACTGTGCTGGGTTTTTTTTTTCAAATAAAACCATTTCCTTTTATATATTATAAATATATTACACTTATAAATCGTAAAACTTGTCATCAGGATATAAATAAAAAAAATAGGAGATCATGTAGCTTTTGGAATAATTCACCAATTTTTTAAAATTAAATATTATCTACAGATTTGGATCGAAGCGTTTTTTATGATAGTGATTTTAATCACTATCAATTATTCTTGAACCAACTATGCCACGTCCCCCACTGCGCTGGTTTTTTTTAATACATATACCAGATATAAAATGGAATAAGGGTTTTTCACTTTTGAAATAAATGTATTAATTTTATTTTATTAACATTAAATAAACATTTTATTTTGAACAGAATAAATAATAACATTATTGTAACAGTTTTTGAAAGGTTATATTTTGTACTTAGTAATTAATAATAATATTAATTACTACATGCGTTTTTTTGTTATTGACACTAAGTTTGGGTGTAATCTTATTTGTTTAAAAATTCATTTTTTACTAACAATGTATGATATATAACTGTGACTAAAACAAAATATAACAAAATAATATCTGATTTTTTTTTATTAAACATTGTAAATAATTGTATAGTCTAATAAGTTTAAAATTTTAAGTCTACAAAAAATACTTTTGAAAACTAAATTTTTAAATGTTCATTATAATTAATTTTATTTACAATCTGATTGCCAAATATTACTATAACATTTGGCAATGTTGAAAGTAATCACTAAGTAACTTTTTAGACTTAAAAAAAAAACAGGAAAAAATAAAATTTATTCATGTTATTGAGTTTTAAAAAAGATTAGTACTTAATTCAAATATAAAATTACTAATGTGATACAACGATGATACTGACACAACTCTTTATATTTAATAAAATGTAATTAATAATGAATTAAATAAGAATACTATGTTTTGTTAATCATTAGCCATGTATAAGAAATAATTATTTTTAATTGTTTCACGATTTAACTTTTTTTTATCATATCGTATTAGTTAAATTATTTTTAGTTTCATACAGAGTGATCCATTTAACATTGACCAGCAAATATCTTATCTTATCTAATATGTGTCTTTACGAGCCATCATAACCGCTGCAATTAACTACCTGTATTACAAGTCTACCCGTTTTATACATATATATAGGTAAAAAAAATCAAAACTTTAAAGTGAAATAACATGCAAACTAATCGACTTAAATGAAAAATTCAAACGCTAAAAATTATAAAAAAAAAACTCTATCAATATATCTAACTAAAAATATGTTTCCATTTGAAAAAAAAAAGTTAGTACCCTTTTAAGGCATAAGGGATGAACCTAAAAATTATCTGATCATGGATAAATGTAGAGTTTTATGTAACTAAAATAATTTTAAAAAAAAATTATTAAAATAATAAATAGTTTTTGAGATATTTGCTGGTCAATGTTAAATGGATCACCCTGTAGTATAAATAATCATAATTTAATTTAAATAATAATATTAAACATAATTTTCCTGTCAATATATTTTAGTATGGCCCTTATTTTTGACCTTTAAGTTATGACTTTATACAGCTTATTAAAAGTTATTGTAGTTAATATATTATATTAGCTAAAAAGATATATTAGCTAATATCTATACATTATGTTTAATAATTTTAATAGCTGTTCTATTTTCAACATAAATTATAATGTTGATCCTTTTATGGCTTTATTCACTAAAGTTTAAACTAAAAATTAAAAGGCTAATTTTCATAAAAACAATTTTTTAGGCTATTGAAGATTGCTGCTGTAGAGAGGAATTCGTATTTTATATCACTTAAGTTCATGCAAAACGTATTTAGTCAGTACTTAACGTAGTATTGCATGAAATTAATTTTACTACCAATGAAATTAAAATGATTAAGTAATTTATTATTTATAAAATCAACAAATTATATTTTCTAATTAATATCATAATTTATAACAATAGAAATTATTCAAAAAAGAATTTTTTTAAATATATTATCATGCAAAACTTTGTCGCCAGAAACTTGACATTTAAAATCAATGTGTTTTGCGTGGGTTTAATCAATATTGAATTGTCAAAATAACCACACTCCTTTACATAATATTTTAATGAGAATTGTAGTACAAAAGATGATATTTAAAGGTATGCAATTGCCTATGTATTACTCACAGCATATATCAAACAAACTTAAATTGATAAATTTATGTTTGAACGTTTTTACTTATGAAATGCAAATATTTAATTGACATATTAACCGTTAAACAGATGGTTAATAATGTTCTAATAAAAAATATTTAAAGGACAACTGTTAAACAGTATTGACTTATTTGCATTTTCAACAAATTAATTTTAAATATTTCAATAAATCAAATAATTAAGAACATACTCTCAATAGATATTAAAATACATAGTAAATAAAAATTAATTTATATTAACTAGCATTTAAAAAATATTCATGTTAGTAATTTTTATACATATCATAAGACTTAATTTCTAGTACCACTTGGTTGAAATGTCTAATCATTTATTCACAATTCACGATTTAATTAATTATTTTAAATTTATAACATTTATTCTTATTGAGTATATATATATTTATATATGTATTTTACAACGTCTAATTTTAATAATGGTTCAAGTTATTGTATACAATTATGGTATGTGGTGTGATGAAGTGAAGCAAGTGATTACGCCAAATGTCGTTATCATAATCTGAGATCGGCTATATCCACTAGATCCCCAGTTTCCTGAAAAAATATGACACGAATTATTTTTAATATAAAATATAAGTTAATTAAATTTTAATAAAATAATGAAGATTTGATTTTAAAAAAATATAATTTATTTTTTACAACAGATACATACCTTCAAAATATATTAAAAATGTAAATACTACAAACCATAAAATAATAAATTGCTTATGTAATTTAGTAAAGAAAAAAAGTCTAAGTTTTTTATTAGATACTTAAGTGTGACTCTTTAAACTATGTACTTTTATATTCTAAGTATAAAAATAATAAAATTTAAAGAATTAAATTAAATTAGACACTATTGGTTACTCGAGATAAAAAATAATAATAATTCTTGCAAATTATGATGCTACAAAAAGAGAGGACCTTTATCAAGTTAATTTAAACTGAGAAGAATTGTGATTCGTTCGATCGTGCAGTTTGATTAACTTGATTAAATCATACACTTAAAAATTTTAATGAAAAAAGATTTTTAATATTTTTTTATCTTTTTTATAGTTAAAAATTAATCATTGATTTTTTATTTGATCGTCAAAACATAATTTTATTCTCAATTTCGGTTATGAGTCACACTTGCTTCTTAAAATACTTTTAAAAACATTACCGTATTTAATTAATTAATTAATTAATTTTATAAAGTCAATGAAGCTAGGAATGAACCAATTTTAGTTACCATAATACAATATTAATTCATTTAAAGTAATGATAAATCGTTCTGATTTAATCTTGAAAACTACCCAAATTAAAAAAAAATCTAATTAATTTTTACTGTCATACATTTGATAGATATTTACGAGATTATACTTTTAGAATAAGAAAAAAAAATAATTTGTACCTACACATAGAACAGTTTCTAAAATTGGTAAATTTACTTTAATAAATGAAAGTATTTAAACTTTTGGTATTAATAGAACATTAACAATTGTCAATGTAATTGTTAAATTGCAATTATCAATGCAATTGTTAACGCAATTATTATTTGTAATGAAAATAATCAGAAAATAAAATTAATAACATTCCAAAAATAAAAAAATAATAACAAGAAAAAAATTACATGATATTTTTAGTAGTACATTTTGATTTGAGTGAAATAGTGAGTAGAAAACAATAAAAAGTGCATATAGGTAAATGAAAAATATGAAAACATATGTGGGATAGAAAACGAAGATATTGAAGATAAAATGTGCAAAAACTTTAGTAACAAAGTCTAGTGTGCTTCATATAAAATTTGTCCAATTGCCCACCTGAAATTTCATGTTTTCCGGGAGTGGTGGGCCAGATAGGACGTGGCTGTTGCTGTCGGTTTTCCCGAGCAGACTGACCTGTCGTAGTTTTCACCACGGGTGCTTTTGTTGGCCTTATTACTGTAAACCATTTATACACGAGTATGTACAATTAGAATTTAGAAGCCAAATTAAGGAGTAAAAGTTTTCCTAATATCTTGAATTTATTATTTTTCATATTAAACAAAAATAATATTTTTCAATACGTTTTGCATTTTAATTTTAGATTATTATTAATAATTTGAATGAAAGGGCTTTTATTTCAATATAGAAAAAACTAAGAGCAAATTTATTATAATTGTTAAGCTATTTCATAAATTTTATTTGAGATGAAAAAGTGATTCAAAGTTATTTATTGACGAATTTTACTTATTTAACTCTCACCATACACTAATTTTACTTCTTTCAAAGTGTTACAAAGGGACCGTGTTTTAACAGTTTCCTTATTTTAGACACTCTTACTAAGAACCAAAAAATAATTTTTGTAATTTCCAATAGCTAGAATAAAATAGTTATGTAAATTATATTTGGTATCAAAGTTCTTGATATAAATGTTTTAATTAAAAAATAAACTATTCTATAATTAAAATGTACTTACCATCTTTATTGCTTTTATTCAGCTCAAAGGAACTTTTTGGCGCCAAAGATGGCTTAGGTATTTCTATAAAATATATAATCTAAATTAATAATATTAGAGAAACAAAGTCATTTTATTTGAATTTGTATATTGTAATTTGGATAGTCTACTTATAAATTAACTACTATCTAAAATTATTTCAATTTTATATCGATTACTCAAATATGTAGTCGTCTATTTTTAAGATCAATCAATTATGTAATTCATAAGATGTTTGTTTTAGGTAAAAATTAATTGAATAACTATATATATTTATATATTGTCTATGAAAAAGGTTTATAATTAAAACTTACTGTTAAATTGTCTTTTAAATTGCCAATTAATTAGTAATCTCAAGTCAATTAACTAAACAATTTTTTTTTAAATAATATTGTGTTTATTACAAAAATATACAGGGTGATTTTTTTATCATAACCCACTCAATTACTTACAGAATAATAATAATTTAAACATTTTTTTTATTATTATCTTTAGTTACACATTATTCTTGAATTATTAACTATGTAATACTTTTTAAGTTCATCCCTTATGCCTGGTAAGGGTGTCAACTTTGTTTTTTTAAATGGTAACTCATATTTTTAATTTAATAAAATGTTTGAGTTTTTAATTCAATAGTAAATGGCATTTGAATTTTTAATAAAACTTAATTTGTTTATTAGATATAAACATTTAAAGTTTAAAATTTTTGAGTTAATATATAGGTATAATACACAAGGGATTACAAATACAGGTAGCTAATTGGTTTTTTATGACATCGATATTAGCAGGTACACAGCATTGTTATTATCAATGATAGTAAGGTACATTGTTGCGAGTTTATAAATACACTAACTGACAATACAAAAAGTATATCTATTGATAGTCATAATTGATAATAAACAATCCGTGACTGTGATAGCAATATCATAAAAAAACAATTAGCTACCTGTATTTGTAATCCCTTGTGTATTATACCTATATATTAACTCAAAAATTTTAAACTTTAAATGTTTATATCTAATAAACAAATTAAGTTTTATTAAAAATTCAAATGCCATTTACTATTGAATTAAAAACTCAAACATTTTATTAAATTAAAAATATGTGTTACCATTTAAAAAAACAAAGTTGACACCCTTACCAGGCATAAGGGATGAACTTAAAAAGTATTACATAGTTAATAATTCAAGAATAATGTGTAACTAAAGATAATAATAAAAAAAAATGTTTAAATTATTATTATTCTGTAAGTAATTGAGTGGGTTATGATAAAAAAATCACCCTGTATACTTAGGGACAAAATATTTCTTTGTTTAATTTAGTAAGTAATTGGATAGTATGATGTAATTTTTGGTGAAATATATTCTGGGCCCACTTGATTCTTGTTTGTTCCAGTCCCTTTTTCTTTTTAAGCCCGTAATATGAGCGCCAACAAGGTTTATGGTTTTACGGGACGAGTAGATGGCAAAATCAAGAGAAATATTTACGTGGGTAACTACTAAAATATTCTATTAAAAAAAGTATCATCTGTAAAAATATCGGTACCATAAAGTCTAATGGAACCTTCTGTCTCGCCCAACGAATTTTTTGATATGCATTTATAATTGCCGAAATCCGACTGACTTAAATCTTTTATGGTGAGCTTCATGTGAATCCGATAACTGTTTTCAGTATCAGACGTCACATATTTTTTGTTTTGAAACAACATAGTTTTCGAATCTTGAAACGACCAGTAGTTTATCGATTTTGGATGTGCTTCTGTTTGGCAGTCTATTGTCACATCTGTGCCGGATGGCGCACCAACAAGCTGATTTGGAACCCATATCATTGGTGAAACTAAAAAAAATTATTTAAAATAAGCAAGTTGAAAAATCATAAAAATAAAATATCTCTAAGAATTTGCTACGTAGGGGGACATGATGTTCATGTAAGTCGTTAAAAAAGATCTAGCGGATTATAGGCGAGTGCATGTACATATTATATAGATTATAAATTGACTAATGTTGTCTACTGGATAAACTGATGTGAATGGTCGAGTATTTAATATGAACATTGTTTAATTAAAAAAACTCAAGAATAATATGTAGTTAAATAATTTATTTTTCATCATAAAGCATCAATAAAATATATTGCCTGCACTACATACCCATTTATGAATTAATATACTTCTAACTAGTAATTGTCCTAAAATTGTTGTTGATTCATTAACTTCTTTATTTTTGTAAGAAAAGTGCTAAATATGGCTAATGTAAAATTTCAAAATAACTTGGAAATATTTTTTGATTTTTCTCTTATTATCTTATTTTAAGATTAAGTATAATAATATTGATAAATAAGATGTTAAGTAAGTAAGGAAACGCGATTGTATTATTATCATTGTAACAATTGACATATTTTCTTACTTCTTGAACTCTCAGTATAGTTAGATTAAGTGCAATAATTAAGCCATAATTAAAATATTATACATGTATAACATTTTTCATGTTTATCTTACCAGATTACAAAAACTTCTCAGATCCATTTTTTATTCTTGTCAGACATTTTTGCAAAGTGATTTTACTAACTTTTAGTTTTTTTTTTTTTTTTGAGGGGGGGTTAAAAAGATATTTTTACAAATATAGATATTTTTTAATAAATATGGGCACTAACGTTCAGAGAAATTTAAAAGAATGATAAAAAGTATATGAATTCTATCCCACAGCATTAACAGAATTATGTGATATTTCAGTTTTTTTATTAATATCAGAAAATGTTTTCTTGTAGTTTTTATGGTAGGTGGTAAGAATTTTAATTTATTTTTTAAAAAAATACGTTTTATATGGACAAAAAAAAATGTTTAATAGCTAACTTAACTTCACATGTTAGAAAAAGTTAGTTGGTCAGGCCTTAAATAATAGTTAGTTTTTTTTAAATGTATAATATATCTTATTTGATTTAATCTAATTTTTAGCATTTTTTAGAATCAGTTCTCAAATCTAAATATTTGAAATTATCATTTGAGTCAAATAAGCATTTCTAACTGATAAATAAACAAAAAATTAAATTAAAATATCAAGTAAAATTGTTTTCATTTAGAACACCTAGTATTCTTATTTTTTATGGACACATTTATAATTTATTAATACACCTGATATTAATTTGTGAAAACATGAACTAAATAATTTGCTTTTAAAAATTCTTCACAAAACTTTTGAACTCTTAGAATCGTCATGAATATTTTCATGTCTTTTTGGCTTGATCTTGATACTTTTTCCGTCACCTTTTTTCTTATTACTACCCTTCTGGCCAAACTTTCACATTTCAAACTCAGAACTAATAAACGATAGTATTAGAAGAGGATTACACACTCGGGAGCACAGAATGCATCACTAGCGTAGAAAGTTTACAAAGCCATGAAGAAAAATACAAGTATTTAAGTAGTTAAAATTCACTGCGTGTCCATTTCCCGACTTGTTTTTCAACAAGAGTAACAAGATGAACAGCAATAGCGTGTATAATTCTACAAACATATTATCGTAAGTATTTCAAATTATTGGTTGAAAATTGAAGATTATAAAATAAATGTGTTATTGTCATTTGTTTTTTCAATATTTTTTGAGAAGACATTGAATGAAAAAATTAAAATAAAAGCATGAAAACAAATGTAGTAAAGCATTTTATTAAATGATTCTCTTACTAAGAAAAAAAAATACTTATGATGCCATTTTTACCATCTACATTAGTAGGATTATTTCTTTATATAAATCAGAAATTTTAATGTAGTTGTGATAGTGATTTATACCTCTAAAATATGTTGTTGGTTAAATATGTAGCTCGTAATTTTTAAAATGTCTTTATAACAAATAAAATACAAAACATTAAATATACTTGTTTTTAATTACAAAATTCTTTTGCTTACATTCAACATCAAGTATGATGCGTTTGCTGACTGAAGGTGGTACTCCGTTACTTGCTATACAAAGATAAGCACCCATATCAGCTCTGGTAACTCTTGTCAAATTAAGTGTGTCACCTTGCAGCTTTTCAACTAAAAAAAATCGTAGGACATTAATTGTTTTAAAAGTAATGAGTACATTTTAAATTTATGATGTCTCCAAAAATATTCATTTCATTTCTAGTCTACATATAATATGTTAAATGTTATGTGATAATTTAGTAAACAATTTTAAATTAATAATCTAATAGTTCTCATCTGAAGTAGGTTAATAAATGTTTAAGGATAAAAATTATTTAATTTTCCCTGGAGATCTAAGGAATTTTTCTGTTATTCAACTATACTGATTATATCCCAAAAAATTAAAATCTGTGTTAGGATTTTATACCTAGATAGCAATTAAAAAATAATCTAAAATTATTAAAGTTGTTTTATAATCTCTATACTGATCTAATTTGTTATCTAATTATTTAGTTAAATTTAAATATTAATTTTACAAAGCAGTAAAGAAAATTCATTAAACAAAACTATCAGGTATTATTAAAAAATATCAATTCATAACAAACTATTTTTTTTAAATTTATTAAAATAGTCTAGTTTAATTTATAAACAATAATATTAAGAGAAAAATATATTCTAATTTTTAAAATTACTGTTATTAACCTATTATTCATATGCAAGTGACTTATTGTTATGGATACACTTATTTATGTATTCAATTAAAATAACTCAATCATCACATAATTTTTATTATTATAGTATTTACTGTGATAACCAACACATACAAGACTATTAAGCAACATAAACATGAATAGCATTGAAAATAACTTAAGACGAGTAAAAGAGAAAAAACATGATGCTCGAGACCATTATGTTCGTCAGTACTTGAGTAGTGTAGGTTTGATAACAGAAAGACACACAACTAGTGATTTGTTGTTGTACGAATCATCTGATGACTCTTTTGATGAAGCATTCATATTAGCTTTAAAATCTAAAGGTGTCGCAAAAGAAGAAATAGAAAGTTATCAACCATTAATTCAACTAGATTGTCCGTGTGTCATTAAAGCTTTTAAAACCGGAAAAAAGAAAGAGGGATTAATTCAAAGTCTTATAACTAAAATTAAAAAATTATTTTAATTACAAGTACTTATAATTTGAAAATTATTTATAGTAATATTGCATCAAACAAAATATACGTTATCAAAATAAAGTTAAATACACTTAAAAATGTTATAAAATTTAAAGCAGAGCTTGAAATTAATTTGAAATATTAATAATATCGAAAAGATTTAATATCAAAATTAAAAGACTAATCAAAATCAAATTTCAAAATTATAATTAAATTACACAAAATAAAAATCACTTTTAAAATTTAATTCTAAACGTTGTACTTTAATATTAATTCTTTATACAATTAATAAAATGAAACATTATTTTACTTATATAAAAGATAAATTTAGACTTTAAATCATAAGTATAACTTCAAATAATTTTTTTCTATTATACCTCAAAAATTACAAAAATTCAAAAATAAGTATGTTCTCCTTCTAAAAAAAAGTTGATGAACAAGTGTGTGACTTTTTAAAGTAAACATAATTTTACCACATAAGGGTATTTACAAATTGTACAATGTAAAATAAACAAATGTATTAGGGAAAAAATGATTTAATTATCGATATAAAGCAGTTAAATCGAAATTATAAAAATATTATAACTTGATATAGAAATCAAAAAATAATTATATCGATATTATTAATTTAATCAAAATAAAAAATTCGGAAATCGATATATTTATTCAATATCAAAATCATAAAATCATTATATCAATAAACTGAATCGAAATAAAAATCAGAAAAAGTTATTTCGATTTCAAGCTTTGGTTTAAAGTAAAATAGATTGAAATAAGAGATTAGCGTACGTTGTCTGACTTTAAAAACTTATTTTCTTACCTTTTCTTTTACGATCTGTTGCTATGTGACCGCCGTCTTCTCTTTTCCAACTAATTTTTGGAGTTGGCGATCCTTCGGCTTTGCACGTTAATGAAAGATTTTGGTTTTCCCGGACGGATACTGATGAAGCAGAACTTTCATCATCAATAATGTTCGGAGGAACTAAAAGTTAATGATTAAAATGAAAAAGAAAAGCTTTAATAATAATTTAGTAGCAGAAAGTAATTTTTAATTTGAATAAAATGACCAATGTATATAAATAAAAACCCAGCACAGGGGGGTCGCGGCACAGTGGTGACTTGGCATAGTTGGATCAAGTATAATGATATCTGACAATGATTAAAATCACTATCAAAAATAAACGCTTCGATGCAAATCTTTAGATAGTGTTTAATTTTAAAAAAATTGGTGTTTTATTCCAAAAGCTACTTGATCTGCTGGTTCCTTATTAATATCTCGATTAAGATAAAGTATGTCGAATGAAAAAAGGTTTATTAAAAAATATTATTTCTCATAAAAAAATTGTGTGGATCCATAAACTTTTCAATAAGTTATAGCATTATAAAGTTAAATATAATATAAATAATAAAATCGAAAATTTTCACACAAAAATAGCATTCGGTAGCCGTTTTCACCATGAAGACAAGTCCAGAGGTCAAATTTTTTTTTTTCAAATTAAAGTATATTACATTAGCTTTAATTTAAGATATATATAAAAGTGTCAGACCTTCCGGAACATTTTCAAAAGTTAAGTTGAAAAAGTTAATTTTTTGTGAAAAAGTTGTCATTTTAAATCCCCCCCTGTGGGCAGATTAAGTGTCAGATTTACAAAAAAAATATACCAAATGATAAGTAAAGACATCAAGCATCTATATAAAAAAGAATTATATTGATATGTTCATTTTTGAAAAAGTTAGAGCATTATTAAATTAAAAATATAAAAAAAAATTATTTTACAAAAATCGTAATTTTTTATTAACTTTGATGTCAACTTTCACGACAAAGACAAGTCTAGAGGTCAAATTTTTTTTTTTCAAATTAAAGTATATTACATAAGCTTTAATTTAAGATATATGTAAAAGTGTCAGACTTTCCGGAACA